CTCCAAAAATACACCGATTCTGGAACTGAAACCACCCACCTAGTTGGTTATCACATTTTAGTTTTTAATTTTGTAAAAATCTCTGCGGGCTGGCCTGTACTTTTTATAGGGGCAATTCGCGAATAAAGCTCAAAAATNCCAAAGAAGACGAGAAATGGATATATTTATATATTTAATTTCAGCAGATTCCCGCGCATTCTGAGTTAAAAACAACTAAAAAAGAAGAGGAAAACCTTATTTAAACGCTCGTGAACACTGAGACTTTGGGTCTGTATGAACTCTCAGGAACTCGAACGCGTAGATCGTGTAAAATTGCTAGGAGTTACCATAATAATTACATTACTTAAGCGTGCAAATGTTTCAGCACAAGATATCATCTGTTTCTATCTTTCTTGTGTAAGGCCAGTTCTAGAATATTGTGCCCCACTGTACTATCACGCACTGCCTGACTACTTAAGTAAGGATATTGAACGCATTCAAAAACGTGCATTATCGATTATTCCGCCAGGCCTTTCTTACGATGACAGCCTATCAATATACAACATGGAATCTTTAGAGGAGAGACGCATACATCAATGCGAAAAATTGTTTGATTCTAATGTCACGGTATCTAATTCAGATCATAAGTTGCACCATTTTCTCCGTCCCAAGAACTATTGTCATTATAACTTTAGAAGACAACGCCACTTTGCCAATCCTGTCATACGTACCAAGCGTTTTTCTAGCAAATTTCTGCCGTGTGCAGGCGTTAGCAGTTTTCGTAGTATGAATTTTTACTACTTTTTATAAATTAGTATTATAAGCTTAATTTTGTAGGCTTTAGTACTTTTTCATATTATAAGCTTTGTGTTGATGGAATTTGTAAATTCATGCAATTCAGCCTTAGATGGCTGCCATGTGGATTTGATTAAAGTTCTACTTTACTTTACTTTAGTATAAATCGCAACTTGTCAGGGGTACTACTCCATGTAAAACCCAGTCGCAACAATAACAATTTGTACGACATACGCACCTCCATTTCTTGATAAAGAAAAAATCACAACAAAGTTGGAAATAAAAGGTTTAATGAAATCATAATGTCTTAATTCCACCTTTCAAACTACTCATTATCCACAAACAAATTGCAACTCGTCACTGGAATGAAACTCCCCATGTTAATATGTAACCTGGATTGCTTCAGGTCCTTCAGGAAAAAGAACAGCGATTTCATCACGATCATTTCCCATAATTTTTTCCCGGATATCTTTTACAAGATTAAAGAAAGATGAATATAACGCGATCTCTTAGTGATTTACACGAGAGGAAATGTCTCTTTAATCTCCCCTCAGGGGTCCGGCTCACCAGGAAGAAAGAGGAGACCGTTAGGTCCAATAACGTTGGTCTGTGGAGATAATCAAACTAATGACTGAGAAGATTGTGCCCGTTGGTTCATTAGTGATAGCATTATTTCAAATCTGTACTCCTCAATACAAGCGACATCGAAAAAAGAACCTTTGTAGTTTTGTAGGCACTTGCTACAGCGCTAGCATGCATTTTATTATCAAGAGGAGTAAATCTCAAGGCTCAAAGCTAATATAATATTCGAGCATGTTAAAGACTCCCCGAAAAAAGGTACATTTTTGAAAATTGATTGTGATGAAAACCCTGTACCATTTGCAGAGGTCCCAACCTCTCAAGATCTTAAATCTAGAGATTTTTTTTTAAATCGCCAACGCGACCTCTCCGAAAATTTCTTCTTTGATCTGGACCTCCTACCCTACTCCCCATTCCCTTGAAATATGCACAGTTTACATAAGCCTTTATGTGGACCTTCCAATACCAGTGAGCGCGCCGAGCAATTTGGCGGATAAAAACGTGGATCTATCCGTGAGAGACTTCAATTGGTTGAATAATCGTCCAATGAGATTCTCGCTTACATAGGAGCAACAAAGAAGAAACTCTTCACTTTCTTTTTTGCAACGAACAACGTGAATCGCGCAAGAAAATGAAGCCAGAAACCGTAACACAAGCATAAGAAGCCACATGATTTAGAATTTTGGAACATATGGAGCTTAACAAAGATTTAGTAATACATAGACAGGTAAAAACGAACGATATAATATCCCGACGTTTCGACGACTTCATGACGCCATTATCAAGGGTACAAATGAAAATAAGATTAACAAATGCGAGTTCAAGAGTTAAAACTAATTTGCATAGGGGAGGTAGCTACACAGATACTTTAGCGCGGATAGAATCCGTTTGCACGTTCAAACTCGGTACCCTTGATAATGGCGTCATGAAGTCGCTGAAACGTCGGGATATTATATCGTTCGTTTTTACCTGTCTATATATGGAGCTTAAATCTTATTTTTCTTGTGGGCAACTGATCCAAACTTCCTCTTATCCGGGGGTTTTGGTCACCCGTGCAGGAGAGTGGTAGATTGGCTCTGTATCCGGAAGACTCCTGGATAATCCAGGAGAATTGGCATATATGCATTTCCTGTACTGCGGGGATACTGAGTTGTTCAAAATCTCCACCTTGTGATGGTTTTGGCCCGAGTCTTTCAAATCGCGATTGTTGCAACTGGGTTTTACATGGAGTACTACCGCTTACAAGTTGCGATTTAGGCTCTCAGATTCTCAGCTTTTACAAGCGTACAATCGTGGTTTTCCTCTTTTTAGTTT